CAAGCTGCACTAAATAACGCGCGCGGTGTGAACGCCCCTAAACTTCTGGAAAGCGATGCTATAGGCGTTTGCTTTCAAGTATTGTATATTTCGGGCCTAAAAGCTGCGCTGACGCAATAGTCGGGGCCACTTGAGCGAGAATGAAAGTTTAGCTACACCACGTGCAGGGGTGTCAAAGCACATGCACGACCAAACCCCCCCCCGGACAATAAACATTTACGACTTCACGAACACGCGGCGACGCACTCGTACAGACACGCGCAGGCATTAATATTTGCTGATCTAATAGACCAAATGAATGAGGATTATTAAGTAAAGTAATAAGGGGAACGATTATTTATAACTCTTGGGCTGGAATAAGTTAGAGGCTCATCTTGACGTGTGAAACACGCAACCGGGCAAACCGGCAGAACAACAACACGCGCAGCGAGTCCGCAATGCACATGAACCAGGGTTGCCAGGTTTTCAGAACAAAACCCGTCCAATCGCGTTTCGAGGGGGTCCCCAGTAAAAATTCATTCGCATTCCAGGGGCTAAATATTACGTTATTTTGGGTCGCTTCAACCCGCGGACATGAAAAACAGCCCGCGGCAACAGTGTTAAAGTAGCTCAATTACGCGGGAAAACCACGGCCTTGGCAACACTGTGATGAACGAATGTTCCGCGAGGCCGCCGATAACATGGCCACCTTCAAATAAAAATAGGCCTAATTATTAGAAGCCAGTATATAGTGGACATAAATTATATTTATTAATTACGTTATATAAAAACGAAAATAAAACTATGAATAAGCCCTTAAAGCATTCACGGCCTACATTCGCGAGATTAGCTTTGGGCCTCAAATCCGGTGACTCCGCCGCGCGAGGCCGAGCAGACAAACACATCCCACTTTACTAAAGTCAGCGTACATTAAACAATAACGCATTTTACCCGCCCTTGACATAATGGGGGAATAATAAAATGTTATAATTGCAAATGTTTTGTGTATAGAATTGTGAAATATTTATCAGCCGCTATTAGCACGTGCTAGCTGTGGAATCTCGTTTCAGATTGTTTACCTTCTGCGCGATCTAGTGACGCTAAAATCTTATTCATAACATAATATGAATAAGATACATACCAGGGTGTCCTTCACCGACAGACTCAGACGTGAACAAAAAGCAACCTTCATCAATCAGGGAGTTATGGAAACCGTTCATCTGCCCGTTCATGTTGGATTGACCGTTGCGTTTGTCTAAATCTGCGTGTTTCTCTCGCTGGTTGTAGCGCGTTAAGTGTCAGCTTCTCTCTCTGCTTCTGAAGCGTCGATCTTACAGATGTTTCTGGTGATGCTCTGTCGCGGACGCCCTGTGTGTAAACTTGACCTCAAATGCTAGCGCGAGCAGCCGGTCTTCAAGTTTATATCCCTCCCACTATATCCCACTTCACTCGCGCGCCCCCGTCCGTCTTCGCGTCAGCCAATCAGAAGCGGCGTTACGTGAGCAGACAAAGAAGGCCCTGCTTTGTGTGCGTTATATGTTTACGTTTAGAAATAAAACAAAGACAAATCGACAAATAAAAAACCCAGTTTAAAACAATACATATAATGCTAGTTGTCACACTTTTTTTTTGCTCCAGCGAACTCTATAGGTTTGTTTTAAATCTGAATTTCTACTCCATACAGTTTCCTTAAAGTATAAAATATGGTTTAGCCAATGTTTTTTTCCCTAGCTGCTCCTAGCTTAGGCCTAATGTTCACTGCAGAACAATATGAATGTGCATCATGTCAATGTGTTTTTCCAAATGTATGAACTTGTGATGTAAGATGATTATGTAATGCAGTTTTGCAGGGGAGAATTTATGTAAAATCCACTTTGACAATGTATAACCTACATCAGGAATGTCTTGGAGTTGCACTTTGGACTCAAGCATTAATTGTTGTATTGCGTGATGCTCTGTCGCGGACGCCCTGTGTGTAAACTTGACCTCAAATGCTAGCGCGAGCAGCCGGTCTTCAAGTTTATATCCCTCCCACTATATCCCACTTCACTCGCGCGCCCCCGTCCGTCTTCGCGTCAGCCAATCAGAAGCGGCGTTACGTGAGCAGACAAAGAAGGCCCTGCTTTGTGTGCGTTATATGTTTACGTTTAGAAATAAAACAAAGACAAATCGACAAATAAAAAACCCAGTTTAAAACAATACATATAATGCTAGTTGTCACACTTTTTTTTTGCTCCAGCGAACTCTATAGGTTTGTTTTAAATCTGAATTTCTACTCCATACAGTTTCCTTAAAGTATAAAATATGGTTTAGCCAATGTTTTTTTCCCTAGCTGCTCCTAGCTTAGGCCTAATGTTCACTGCAGAACAATATGAATGTGCATCATGTCAATGTGTTTTTCCAAATGTATGAACTTGTGATGTAAGATGATTATGTAATGCAGTTTTGCAGGGGAGAATTTATGTAAAATGCACTTTGACAATGTATAACCTACATCAGGAATGTCTGTCTTGGAGTTGCACTTTGGACTCAAGCATTAATTGTTGTATTGCAGCGTATTAAATGCATGTAAATGAAAACTTGTGGGCAGAGCTGCTAAGCCTGTCTCACTACTTATTACTGTATGTGGGGTGTGTATCTGATTGTGTTTCAGAAGATTATGACGTTTCTAGGTAGTATGCGAAATATATGTGTTTGTATTCTGTGCATAACCAGTCAGCATGATTATAATCTATCACATTCGCTCAATGCTTCAATTGTACTGTCACACACTTTCAGTCAGCATGGGGTCTCTTTTATCCCATCTAATCTGTAGGCAGTAATTTCTTAGAGTGCCAGGAGGTGCAGGGGACATGGGCTCTACACTGAAACTCAGAGGTTGTTGAGTTTGTCGATCCATAACCTCAGATGTGCTCTGGGGTCCAAAAGTTTGAGACCACTTGCGAAAATGCTGTTCTTGGCATTTTCCTCATTTTTGTCAGAATTTGAGTGAAAGGTTGGATTGAAAATGTATAATGAATTTCAGAATATCTTTTGTTCCCCCTTTTGATTTAATGACAGCAGCACTTAACAAAATGAAATCGAAATTTTCATTGTGGTCTCAGACTGTTTTTTGTCTTCCTTCCAATTAATTAAAACGGTAAATAATTTGTAACAATTAAAAAAAGTGACATGGAAGAATTAGTCACAAGGCTGTTTGGTCTTCGGTATTTGATATCAGGAAGCAGTGCTTACAACACCTTGTTGTTATTGCCTTTTGTGTTGTAAATTGGTACGTTATGATGCAAAGAGTGAAAACGTTCCTTGATAGTGAGCATTCATTTGCAAGTGTTTGCGAACAAAACAAGCTCTGGTGTTTAAACCAATCATGAAGACTACTTTTCCAAACACTGTCCTCTCTTATAAGCTGTGGGTATCTTATTAGCCTAATCTCATGACTGATGTCAAGATAAAACAGTTTTATGTGATTTGTTTGTAAATGTTTATTTTTACTGTCTTTTTATCAGAATTTCACTGTTGATTTTTTTTATTTAAACTAGCATTATATATAAGAAATATATTTATGTAAGAGACATTCTGCCAGACAAAACCATGATTGATTTTATTTCTGTGTATTTATTTACATGAATGACGTAAACTTGCACCTGGCAAGGTTTTGGAGTGTAAGGGTAAATAACTCTTATGTATGATCATGTTGCAGCCAGGTGACTGTTTTTGCCTGAGGGAGATGCTTTCAAAATGAACTTCATTTGCACAGTGTTTGCTGTCAATTATGAATGAGTCAAACACCTCACAATATATTACAAGACACTTTTGTTCTCTGGTTCTGGCTTTTGAACTTCCGAAACCATTGCTTTCACAATGTGTCTAATCGCCTCCAGGTCTGGAAGAGTTTTCAAAGACTCATTCCAAACTCTGACTAAGAGCTCAGAGCTCATAACAGACTAATGGATTATTAGGAGTGTTGAGAGAAAAATCAAATTGAAAAGTCAGTAACATCATCTTTGCTCAAACTCTCTCTCATCTAAACCTATAAGCATGATAATGATCCTGATTAGAAACATTTTTAAGGTTCCCCAAGAAACTGACAATTATTATTAAAAAAAACTGACTTTGTGAGTTACTCCACAGGACTCAATAAATGGTGACAATTGGGTTTCTCTTTTTTTAAATTTTTTTTTTGTGGTAGCATTGTGTCCTCGTTCCTTTTGACACATTTCCGTACTTCACAGTTCATGATGAAATCAAACCACAGGAAAACATTTGACTCTGAATTGATTTTTAAAAAGACAATCTAAGTAGATAATTCAATGATTATAAACAAACTCGGTGTTCTTTGCTCTCTAGCCAAATAATATACAATTAAAGAGGACAAGCGAGGACAGTAAAATAATAGTTCTGCCCATTTACAGATGATCTGTTCTGTTGAAAACATGACAAGAGAATAAAGGGTGAGCTATGCAAAATCAGGACCTTTTTTTCTTATATTTGCGATGATGTGCTGATAAAATCTTTATACTGTCAGTCTGAGACTGATTTAAATTTTATCATCTCCTGATATTTAAAGGGCAAACAGTTATGATATTTATTAGTGTACATTTTTGCACAGTCAGTATGTATTCACACACACACACACACACACACACACACACACATGTTGTGTTTCCATGTTTTATGGGGACATTCCATAGGTGTAATGGTTTTTATACTGTACAAACTGTATGTGCTATTGCCCTACACCAACCCTACCCCTAAACCTACCCCTTACAGGAAACTTTGTGCATTTTTACTTTCTCAAAAAAACTAATTCTGTATGATTTATAAGCTTGTTTCCTCATGGGGACCTCAAAAATGTCCCCATGTTTACTAGTATTACTATCCTTGTGGGGACATTTGGTCCCCATAACGTGATAAATACCAGGTACACACACACACACACACACACACAATCAAATAATGGCACTAAATGCTATAAATGAGCAGAGCTGATGTGATTGGTTGTCCTCAGTCAGCTGCTCCAGTCAAAGGTTTGCTCTGTTTCAGAAGGCTGTTATCTTGACAAAACTTCAGCAAAGCATGATGGGTGTTAATAAATAACTTATTCTAAAATGTGGTATGGTGGTCTTATAGTATGTGCCAAACCTGACATACGTGTACTCAATTACTACCAGAACAACAAGTAAAGGCTGAGATGAATGCTGACATCACTGTTTGCTTTAATTCTACGGTAAAAGGACAGTTTTACCTTGGGTCAGGTTGTCCTGCACTATACGGCTGATGTCCACTGTTGTACTGTCTCCATTTACAATCTATCTTCAATAAATAACGCAAAATGGATAGACCAGTTGAATCTCTATTGGCAAAGCCACTGAGAACTGAGGAAGAGTTTGTGAAGCGATTAAGCACAACAAGGCATGAGAGCACTAACAGCTGCAGGTCTGAAAGGCGCCAGAGGACGACCTGAAACAGGCTGTTTCTCTCAAGTAGTAGCATTACGATATCTGCTAAAGTCTAGAACTGAATCGATAGGGAAGGGGGGATGGGTCAGAGAATCACATCACCTGCTTTTCCTATCTGAGGAGGCCTGGGCTCTCCTAAAATGGCCGCTATCAGAGCCTCCGGAGCACTGACAGGGGACACGGGGCTCCGTGGACTGAGAGGACTGAGAGAGGGAGAGGTTAACGTGTCTGGAGAAACCAGACGCTCTTTCTTGCTATTGGCCGAAGGGCGCGGGGAGGAGCTCTGCGTGGGGCCATCACGGGGACGTGGGCACAGACTCAGAGACTGCAGGGAGGGAAGAGGCATCCCGGAGAGTGCCGGTACGGCGGGGCTGTGGCTGCGCTGGCGCTTCTGGTGATGCCGTTTGCTGCTGTGGTTTCCAGGGCTGGGGCTACGAGAGATGGGGGCCAACAGGACCAGTGTACTGTCGTCTTCAGAGCTGACGTCAGAACTCTCAGAGTGCATACGACACGCTGGTGCCGGCGGCGTGGACATGGGCAGCTGCACCTGTGAAGAAAAACAAAGAGGATGAAATTAAAAGAATATACATACAACTCATATAGGAGATTCTAATGTTATACAGAAGTTAAAATCCCTTTGTTTCGTGTTTATAAACCTCGTGACTTTCTTTCTTACACAAAACACAAATGGAGACTTTTCAAAGCATGTCTCCATGCTCAATTACAATGAACAGAGAGATTTTGAGTTTCAAAAATTGCAAAAAAGCACCATAAAAAATCATAAAAGTGGTCCGTATGACTTCTGTGCTGTAAGTCTTCCAATTATATAGTGGTTTTATGTTAGGAAAAGGCCTCAAACAGTAGAGCACGGCTCTAACAATGCCAAGGTCATGAGTTTGATTCCCAGGGAATGCAAGAACTGATAAAAAACAGTTACTTTGAAAGAAATGCAAGTCACTTTGTGTAATCGTATAAATGAACAGATACCAAAAAGTCAGAATTCACTAAAAATGGGTTGAGTCTCCAAGTCCACAAGTTCCCAAGTCAATGACAAGACCAAGATCATATTTTTCATGTTTTCATGTTTCATGTTGGCCCTGTCATGGACTCGAGACCATGTGGATTCTGTCTTGATTTTAAGTTAACCTTTTTCTGGTCTCAGTCTTAACTCAAACTTGACCCTCTTCTGGTCTCGGTCTTAACTCAAACTCGACCCTCTTCTGGTCTCGGTCTTGAGACTGAACTCAACCCTCTTCTGTTGTCCTACTAGACTTATACTCCATACTAGACTAATTTCTCCTTGAAAGAAATGTAAATGAATGACGAAATAAAGACCAGCATTGTCTTCAAAACTTCTCTTCTTCGTGTTTGGGTGAGTCTTGACGATTATGTCATCCAATCTTGCAAGTAAACTCTTCTCTTAAGATTTCTGTCTGTGAAATAATGAGTGCTAAGTACTTTTGGGAAGTCTACACACATTTTCAATTCATTTCTGAGTTTTCTGTACAGCTATTTATGGACCGCTGCACTATTATCTGAATAGGGCTGCACAATTATAACAAAAATCATAATTGTCGATTATTCCCTTGAAATTGTAATTGTGATTATTAATTACGATTATCACAATTTACATTGAATGATGTTTATACCATTGTTTGATGCAACTGCATGCCGTATTTTTATATGAAAATAAACAAGCTGAAAACACTCGAACTGAAAAACTTTTAGTGCTTTTCTATAGTATTAAGCCTCAAATGTCAACTATACTTCGGATTGGTTTCTTCTTTAAATGATAAAAAAAGTAAAAATATGAATGGTATTATAATGTTATACTAAAACTAAAACAATGGAAAAACCCTTAAGATAACATGTAGAAAAAGAAAAAAAAAAACGCATCTTAAGCACACAGAATAACATAAGTGGACTTTGAATGATTAATTGCCGCTTTGAACGATTACGTAATTGTGGCATCCATAACTGTAATCGCGATTAGAAATTCGATTAATTGTGCAGCCCTATATCTGAATGAGTTTTTTTTTTTTTATCTATTGAGGTTTTTGAGTCTATTATTGTGGTATCATTGATTTCTGATTTAACAGCCCTTAATCAGCAAGTTAAAAAAATGGGCATTCTGTCTTAATGGGCATTTTTCTGACCAGAAGAAGCTCTGCGAGACTTATCTTCTGTATGGAATGTTGAATGTGAATATTTTTACCACAGTGGTTTTGGTTTCATTCTGACCAGCTATACTGCTGAAATCTCTTTGAAACTGTGGAACATTATGTTTCAAACTGTGGTACATTGTGTCTTATTTCCATTGTGCGGCATCTAACATCTAGTTTGACATTCAAATGGCAAAACAGAGTCTTTATGTTTGTAATTTTTGAATGTCCAGCCTCAAATACAAATCAGACTGCAGTCAATACTTCAAATGTTGACAATGGCAATGCCAGAGCACAATGGCAAAACCTAGTCATCATGCCCTTTGAATAACACGCTCGGAGCTACTGAGCTGCGCATGCAAACAAAACTAATATTAGCATTTGATATGAATCAGAATGTAGCTGTGTGAGAGCAGCGTGGACCTGAAATGGTTCTGTCACTCCCACGATGCTGTTGGTGTTGTTACTGTAATATCCCAGAATATATTCTCCTGGGTCTCTAGGCAGATCCTCCTCAGGAAACATCACCTGAAGGTCATGAATAAAACGAATTAAGGATAATGATAGTCAGCACTGGCGACACAATAAATCTTTGTTAGTACTAATACTGTTCAGTCATTCCCTAATCTTAAAGCTTTCAATCCAAGATTATCCAGGAATTATTTGATTTTGGGATTAAAGCATTGTCCAGTGAACACAGAGAGATGTAAAGTTCAGGGTCAGATTGCTAGTATCTTTGAGATCTCATCACATCTTACGCACACGTCCTACCTGTGTCGAATGCTCAGATTTGGCCCACACGTATGCAGCGTAATCCTTGTGGTGCTTAAATCCCACCTAAAACAAAGTAACATGAGTATATAAATAATTTAATGGTTACACTTTATTTGAAGGTGTCCTTGTTACAGTGTAATTATACATTTAAGTACTGAGTAATATTAATTAACTACATGTACTTTCTATATGGTTAGGGTTTGGCTTAGGGTTACTTGCATGTAATTATGCATAATTAATTGTTATTATAATAGTAAGTACATGTAACGTGCAACAAGGACACCTTAAAATAAAGTGTTACCAATTTGATTAATTTAAGGTGCAAATTTGATGGGTGCCTGGGGGTGTTTTTTATTAGGAATTTAATAAGATAATAATTGCTCATTAAATCATTAACAGCAGACAAATAATAAATATTTAGAAATTAATAAACAATATAAATGAAACCAAAAGAGTCATCTGCAGTGTATCACAGCATGTGAATAAAACTGAATACTTCTGTAGAGACAACAAACAAGTACATCCTGGTTACGTTGCAAGCTACACAACAACGTGTCTTTTGTATTCATACACTGTCAAATAATAATCTCTTAACAGATCTCTTAAACGTAAATGAAAGAGAAAGTAAGCATAACACAACTAGTCAGTTCACATAACTAAGTGTCAGATAAACAAAATTCATGTCATAGTTCATTTTAATACCCATCTCTTTCTAGTACAAAAGTTTTCTGTTTGTTGCTTGAAATGTTGCTTTGTATAAGCATTAACTAAAACAATCTGTCACAAAAAAGTCACAATTATGTGATATAAACTCAGATTTTTATCTCAGAGTTTATCTCTCGCAATTTGGACTTTTCTTAGAATTGTGAGTTTATATCTTGCAATACTGAAAAAAGACCGAAAAAAGTTACAATTACCTTTTTTATTATTATTATTTTTTGTAAACAAGCTTCCATACTAATTACACCATGGGCACTTCACATTTATCAAAATAATTTATGATTTATTTTGTGGATTTACTGTACTGAGAAGTGTGTCTTTTTTTAATGATGAAAATATGCAAAAATAACTATAAGTAATGTATAGGTTAATTTCCTTGAAAAGAAAAGGCTGTGCTTCTGTGGTTCTTTCATAACTTTGCTCTGTTTGTTAAATTTTCCTAACCTGCCCAACATAGCTTAGCAACACTGGCTCAACCAGTTGCATGGGTTTGGGGGCGAGACTATCTATTCATTGACCACTAGTAGGTAGGGAGAGTGTCTGGAAAAAATGTCTAAAAAATTATTATTGTTGAGAAAGTGGAGCATACATGGCACACTTTGGCAACGCCATTGTGATTATTATTATTATTATTATTATTAAGCCTTTATTTAACCAGGAAAGAACCTCAATGAGGTTAAAAATCTCTTTTACAGGAGTGTCCTGGCCAAGATAGGTGGACCAGTTATACAAATACACATATAACAAACACCAATACAACACACAATAAAATATCATTAAAAATACAAATTATTATAATAATATAATGTGTGTACTTTGTTAAAAAAAATGTCTGCTGTGGACAAACTGAGCTTTAATAAATGAATGTTAAAAGTAGTTTTACATGAAAATGCCTTTCATGTATTACCTTGTACAGTCCCACCCAGTCCCATGAACTCCTCTGAAAGCCGTGTGCAACTGTGAGTTTGGCTGTAGCATCAGAGAACTTGGTCCATTCCTTCTCCACTTCCAGTGTCACTAATGGTAAGTTCACCTTAAAGGGAAACTGAGCAGGATGTAGGAAGATGGGACAGAATATTAGAATCAACTGTAGGTATTATGAATATAAAAATTCAAATAAATATTTATGTCTTTTAGACATAATCAATAACATTTACTGTCTTATAGAGGTCTTCAGTAAACAAAAAAAATCAGTTGAATTTTATTAACAGTTTGTCTGTGGCCACAAGCAACTTTTTGAACTCGTAAATGTTGAAGTGTCACAATAATAAATACATCACATGACACTGTAGGCCTGAAATACATACAGCACTGCTCACAGACTATCCAGTGTCTTTCCCGCCATTTTTAGACTCACATGCAAAGAGAAGAGAGCGGACACCGGCTTGTGATCACTAATAGTGAAGCCCATATGACTGCGGTAGTAGTGCTGGGAAACTCTGGTGGCGCCGCCCAGCCATGAGGTCAAACCCCACTGTAGTGCAGAATTATGGGATGGCACGGGGGAGCCCGTCCTGCGCAGACGCCACAAGATGCGATCCGTCCATGCAGGCTTCCTCTTTTTTGCACTAGGAAAGGAAGCCGGGTTTAAACAAGAGTCCAGAGAAACAGGAAGACTCATGTAAAAAAGCATAACAGACCTCGTGTCATAAGTATGTGTCCCCACATCAAACTTGTAGGTTGGCGGGAAAATTAGGGGTCCCTCCATAAACCCCTCCAGAACAGCTTCACTTTTTTTCGCCATGTTGAGCTGTGTCAAAGACAAAACAAAAAGACGAAGTGTTCTTTCACTTTATCTTTTTAACAACAGCCCAATCTAGCAGACACCACAACATATGGTGTGCACATGCACTGAAGAGCTGAATCCAGCCGCTCTGTTTATAGATGTAGTACACTGACCTCTAGTGGTTACAATACAGACTGAAAAAAACTGTATTGCCAAGATCTGTATGGAGACATCTTGGAGGTATGTGACTGAGACAAGGACAATTTTCTGAGCTTATCTGATATGTTCAACATTGCTTCAACAGTTGGATCTGTACAGACCCTTGAAATCACATGCACCTGTGCAATCAGTTTCCTTTATGGCCCCGTTCCAAATGGCACACTTGACGTAGACTTGAGACCTCATCCTATGTTCATTTTATGATTCAAAAGGGTGTTCATGAGCATTATGCGACAACATCCATGACAATTTGGGCATTTGGAACAGGGCCTCCCTTGTGTAAAAGAATTACATTTTAGCATACTTTTAAAATATACTGTCTAAAATATACTAAACTAAATGTCATTTCTATTAAACCCGTTTGTCATGTATTTAAATATATTTAAATTAGTCATTTGTAATAATGTAGCAATTTAGTACTTAAAAATGTATTTAGTCATTTTAAATATATTAATGTTTCAAAATAAAACATCAAAACAAGTGTACTTCATGATGACAGACTATTAAAACATAATGATTTAAACTTACAATTGTACTTTAAACTAAAAACTTTTTTTTAAAAGTGCACTTTTTTAAAAAGCGTTCTTAAATGTGTTTAAAACACATGAAAGTGTACTCTCTTTAAGTGTACTAGACATTAATAATACAGCAGCTCTGCACTCCATAGTAAGGTGTTTTTTAAGTGCCTGCCTTACTGGTGAAAGAAAAAAACAACATTATTATAGACATTATTTACTCACCCTTATGTTGTTCCAAACTATTATGCTGTTATTTTTTCCATAGAATCCAAAAGGAAAATTTTTAATTTTTAATCCCATTCAATAACAGTTTATAGTGACCACAGCTGTCAAACTCCAATAAAGAACAAACATTCAATTGCTTGGAAAGGTTGGAATCGATTGAATGAATACACTGCCTTCACAGAATGACAGTTACTCGAGTCGTTCATGAATGAACAGAATGAACTGGGATGAATCTTGTTTGTGAACATTGAACAAGGATCAACACTTGACTGACTGACAGTGTTGTTATTGTTAACTAAAACTATTAATAATTATTAAACTATTACAACAACTATTACTAACAACTAACTATTATTATAATAATTAATAAAGTTTTTGGTAATTGAAATAAATAGAAATAAAGCTGAAAAGAATTGAAATAAAATAAAGTATAAATGAAATAAAATAAAAAATAAATATTAGATGAAACTTAATCTGAAACAAAAATGTGTTAAAATGTTGCCTTAATTGGCAACTAACTGAAATAAATAATTTTAAATGCTACAATTTCTAAAACTGAATAAAAAATTCAATTAAAGCTATTTAAAAAAATTAAATGATAAAAGCACAACAAAATTACTCAAACTAAAATGAAAACTGAAAAAAATATAAGCTAATTCAAAATATTAATCGATATGAATAATTATTACACTGATGACTAAACAAGTGGGGACATGTTGTTTGTTCAATTTGGCATTCAATCTTACATTTAAAATTATGTAAAAACGTTATTTTTTAACACCTAATGCTTCATATTTTTATTAAGCTATTATTGTTTTCTTTTTTCTATAGCTTGATAAAAGCTATAGCCTACCATGCTGTTTACAAAATGGAGGAAAAATTATAGATATACTTGGTTGTAACTTAAAAAAAAAAAAATACTGATGCTTAAACATACTTTCTGAAGCCTTTTAGACATGTACATTTTAATAAAGGATAATTAAACTCATTTCAGTCATTAAAAAGATCCATAATTCAACGACTCACTCATTACACTTGCTTGTCCCCACCAACTGGGCAACAATTAAACCTGCAAAAAGAGTTATTGAATGAATTGCTAAACAAATCTTTTTGGTAAACAGATTCAAGTCACCAGAATGAATCTGCCTATATGTCCTTTTTGGAGTTTGACAGACATTGCCACTCTGAACCATTGGTGGAACAACATGAGGATGAGTAAATAATCGAATAACAACCGCATTTTCATTTGTGAGTGAACTATCCAGTTAAACACTGTGCTGAGAAGGACAGGTGTGCTGTTCAGTCAAAGCTGAAATGGACTGTGCAGAGACTTGCAGTTTATTAGCAGCACTGGTGCTGCAGTTCCCACGGGATGTGCTCTCTCTTTCTGGGTAACGCGCTGGGAAGAATTGAGAGCTGCTGCTGTGTGTGTTCAGTCTGTATTTGATCGAACATAGATGAACCTGATGTGTGTGTGTGTGTGTGTTTGTGCACTGGAAGACAGACCAGAAACAGAGCTGCTGCGTGTCCTACTGTGCCCTACTCAAAGGAGACTGCAGAATAAGCCTGGAGCCATGCTGACAACAACACACACAGGGTCACACACGCTCACTATCACATAACAAAAACACGCTTGCAGTCTAATTTCCACGCTCTCCTTTTGACTCTGCTTTTCCTGTAATCATCAAAGACATCACACAGCGGGAGTCGTGACATTATGCAGATATTTGATGTTCAACATTAAAGTGTTAATGCAGCACAACAATCTCTTTTCCAGATGTCTTTTCTCATTTGACTCACCCAGTAGCCTCCCAACCCAGTGCGTGTGCTTTGGGTTTGTACTCCTCTGAGGAAGGGAAGGTGGCAGAATTTGGAAAACACCAGTAAGAAAACCCCCTGCATCCTCTGAGATGCCACCTAGAGGGAAATAAAGATATTTGAAGTTGAACACCTCATTAAGTGGGGTTTACTAAGGCATACATCACTATTACAATTTGAACAAACCAAATCCAAATGTACTTCAGTTTTTACTTGTGTGCATGTGATATAAATTTCATCATCAACATAGCATACGTATACTGTACGTGTGCATACCGATTTTTCTATCCCTTTGTAACCCTGTATGCTCAGTTTGCACATGCACCTTGAATTAGTTTGTCCACAAGGTGGCAATACTGCCACCACCTGTTTTTAACAGTCAGAAAAGAAACAAAAATGGAGCAATAACAATCTCCCAGAGACCCAACAATAGATGATTGCGCTGACTCATATAGGTAAGCCAGTTAAAGGAATAGTTCACCCAAAAATGACAATTTGCTCTCCCTCAGGCCATCCAAGATGTAGATTAGTTTGTTTCTTCAGAACAGATTTGGAGAAATGTAGCAATACGTCACTTGCTCACCAATGGATCCTCTGCAGTGAATGGGTGCCGTCAGAATGAGAGTCCAAACAGCTGATAAAAACATCACAATAATGCACAAATCATCCACATGACTCCAGTCAATCAATTAACATCTGAAGTGAAAAGCTGCATGTTTGTAAGAAGAATCCATCATTAAGTTGTTTTAACTTTAAACCGTCACTTCTGGCCAAGATACCAGTAAATAATCCATTATCATGCTTTTTCCAGGGGAAAAGTCCATCTCCTGTTGTCCTATCACATCAAAATCCAGCGATATATTTATTTAGAACTGTTTTGGACTGTTTTGCACATAAATGGTACTTGATCTGTGCATATTTCTCTCCTGACGAGACGACTTTTTCAATGGAGAAAGCAATGGTATGGATAGAGGACTTGTATTTTAGCCAGAAGCAACGGTTTGAAGATAAAAACATCTTTATGGATTTGTTTCTTACAAACACAGTTTTTCGCTTCACAAGTTAACTCATGTACTGTACTGTTGTGGATTATTGTGATGCTTTTATCAGCTGTTTGGACTCTCTTTCTGACGGCACCCATTCACTGCAGAGGATCCACTGGTGAGCAAGTGATGTAATGCTACATTTCTCCAAATCTGCTCCCATGAAAAAACAAACTCATCTACATCTTGGATGGCCTGAGGGTGAGCAAATTTTCATTTTGGGGTGAACTATTCCTCTGAGATACATGCAACTAGTTGAAACGAGTACAAATATATTTTATGGCTTATAACTTCTGGAGAGAAATAGCACAGACACTGGATGAAACGTTCTAGTGTGCATGTGTCAGACGCCTGTGTTCTCGCACTATTCAGTGGAGTGTACTTTGAAAGTATCCTAAATGCATATGCAAAGAGTTTGCATCGAAACTGAAGTATACTTTATATTTACCCTTTTACCCAAAGTATATTTCTGTTTTGACATGAACACATAACCCTTCACAGTACACTTCGTTTGATAGCATGCACAAAAACAGGTGCAGGACACATACACACTAGAAAGTTTCATCCAGTGTCTGCACAATTTTTCTCCAGAAGTCATAAGTGATAAAAATGTCTTTTTTTAAAACTAGAGTTGTGTTAAGATGTTGAGTCTTAACCACCTCACACAAGTGCTCGCCAACATGGGTATCTATTTTTGTTGTGTCTCCAGTAGTTTGCTGTTGTTGTACAGTCTCCCCCTTGCCCCCTTGTGGATAAACCCCAGAAAACTCCTAGCAACACCCTCACAACCATAACAAACACACTAGCAACTGCATAGAAACAAGCTAACAATCAATCAGAAGATTTTAATGACCAGACAGCAACACATTTGATTTCTTCTGTGGAATACAAAATAAGATTTTTTTGAAGAAATGTTGGTAACCAAACAGTTTTTGTGACCATCTTCTTGTGCATTGCACAGAAGAAAGTAAGTCAAACAGGTTTAGAACGTCATGAGGGTGAGTAAATGATGACAGCATTTCCTTTATTTTTTCTTTGGTGAACTGTCCCTTTAAGCCTGATATGCATTTGATTTCATACTGACCAACACATATCCAAAACGACTGAGTGTGTCCATGCAGAGCTCACTCCACTGGTCTGTGAAGAGAGCATCTTTGAGCCGCTTGTTTATCATAGAGTTTACTTCCTGCAGTCTAAAAAGAGAGAAAAGGACAGAAGCAGGAAAAAAAAGACAGATGAGAAAAGAATACCATTAAAACAAGGACAAACAGAACAAGATGACAAGAAGGACATGGAAATGAGAAAACGCACAAAGGATGCACAGGAAGTTTAATTAATTCAGCAATAACAATGGAAGGGATGTAAGAAAACTGAACAATGCGCCACACTCTTACCCAACAACGACCATGTCAGTGCTCCTATTTTCAACACCGGGTCCAAACAAGGAAGTGATGTCATCAGGTGGTATACCAGAGCCTACATTCCATGTGACAATATGAACTCTAAAAGGAATAAAGCATAATGTGCATTTCATGTAAATTTTAAAAGAAACTGCATTAAATACTTGCTATATACTCCCTACATAAACAGCTGTCTTCTAAGGCAGCGTCCCAAATTAAATGATTTGAAACACTTTTAGGCAGCAACTACACCGACACCACACAAACACTGCATACAAACAGTCTGAAATTAGCATGTTGAGATGCTTATAATATTCAAATAACCAAAATTATTAAATAAAAACAAATAGAACACACAATTATTAGGTTTCTCTCACTGTTACTCATATATGAGGTTATATGTGATGCTACACTAGGTTTTGAATCAGGGCTGTAGTTTCAAATTCATGGTCATATTCTCCTTTGCATTACATCATTGTAATATGAGTCATCAAAATGACTCAAATCAAAAAGCCTGGGATAAATGTCACCTGCTGTATTTAATAGCTTCCAAAACATGCTGAATGCTTTTAACTAATTAGAGCACATGCACGATGAGTAAACATCATGTTGTCAAATGTTGTGGGGAAGTCGTGGCCTAATGGTTAGAGAGTCGGACTCGTAAACCAAACGTTGTGGGTTCGAGTCTCGCAGGGATTGTAGGTGGGGGGAGTGAATGTACAGCGCTCTCTTCCACCTTCAATACCACGACTGAGGTACCCTTGAGCAAGGCACCGAACCCCCAACTGCTCCCCGGGCGCCGCAGCATAAATGGCTGCCCACTGCTCCGGGTGTGTGTTCACAGTGTGCGTGTTCACTGCTGTGTGTGTGCACTTAGGATGGGTTAAACGCAAAGCACTAATCCCTAGTATGGGTAACCATACTTGGCCACATGTCACGTCACTTTCACTTTTTTTTCACTTTCAAAGATGACAGGCTAAAGGATCCAGGAGCACATTCGTGTGTCTAGGAATGCTGCCAGCTCAACGCTCCCGTGTCCATTCTGTCACCAGGCTCTGAGAGCGATATTATGCTGATTTAAGGGATGAGAAAATCTCAGCTCTGCTGGTACGCGTTCTTTAGGTTTATTATGCTGCCATGCCACTAGCTGATTTCTCAGCATGTGTTAACTCAACTCCACGATGAATTAATGACCCCAGCAACCCTCTGACCACCACATCTGACCAGTGAGCTTCTCCAAGAGCGGAAGAACTGAATGTACTGTTCCGATTCAGAGTTTTTCATCAGTAAACGCAAAATCGCATATTTAAGATTTGAAATGTTGAGTCAGCTAATGGGATGCAGCCTTAAACCGACAGATTCTCTCCCCTCAGCTCGGTGGATATAAGCAAATCCAGCAGAAACCCAGTGACTGGGTGACTGCAGTCAAATCATATCATATCACTGGGACTGGGAAATATTAATACCACACTTGCAAGAGTGAATGAATGAATCAGAATGAACTTTTAATACACCAGTTGAATGAATAATTCAATGACTCACTCATAAAGGCAGCCATTTGTTTTGTTCCTGAATGAGCTTACAATGGCTACGGTATAAGTTCACAAGATGTGTCCCAGGGTGTGCCATACGTAATTTTAGGTTTCAGAAGGGTGCTCACAAGCTTCCTTTTGCGGCCACTTTATCCTTTTGCGGTGCCCTTTATTCACTGAGACAAGCTTCACAGGAGACCTCTACCTGACAGTCAAAGCACCATTATGTCATGCGATTGTGGGCTTAGAGGAAGACCACAAGGTGTTAGGGTTCCTTTTGGGATAGGGATAAAGACAGTCACTTGTTGATGTTGTTATTGAATGAACAATTGTTTGAATGAATCAATTGAATGAACGACTCCATGACTCAGTCATGAAGACAGTCATTGTCACCACCTACTGGCATAACAATGCAAGCTACTGAAAGAGCAACTAAAAAAATTCTCAACAATTGAACAGACAAACATTGAAAAGTCTCACACCGTGTCTACATAGCATCCTATCGACAGTTGTCGCGGCGCGGCTGCCAGTAACCGCTTGAGGTTGTCTACACTGGACACGACAAGCGAACATTGCAAATCATTTGAACTTTGTGTCAGTACGTGATAAATAGAACAAGGTATCATTTTACTGTCGGGGATTTGTTGTGTCGCATCACGCCGCATCCAGTGTAGACTGCATCACTGATTATAATGGGTTCTATAATATTTTGTTGCGTCGCACCACTCGCGTCTGGTGTAGACACGGTGTCAGTGCTGTTGCACTTTTACATGAACTCTTTTGGAAAGATGCTGGACCAGATTCAAGATACCAAACCTAACTGTTGTATAATTATCGACATGGTAAATAACAGAAGTCTCACCTGAAATCACCCTCTTCACTAATGGTCTTGTTCAACTTCTTGTCAGTAGTAGTTTCTGGACTTGGAATCAGTTGAGGAAGGGGGTTAGACGGGGGGCTGAGGTTTGGGATAGGTCTGGCGATTAGGTTATTGTGTGTGTTAGTACGGATGGGCTGTGATGGAGGGCTTGGAAGAGTCGGGGGAATGGCTGGGGGGTTGAAACCAAGATGAGAAGTGGGGCTCAGTGGGTTTTGGGGGTTGCAACAAGGCAATGGTGATTCGGTTGGTGAGTGTGACAGGAACTTGGGTGTTCCTGTAGCTTTAATCTGCAATGGAGACTCAGTGGGTCTGGAGACTTTGATTGATGCCTTGATGCCCAGTGCTGTAGGCCTGGGCCGACTTATGCAGTTGGAGTCTGGTCTGGTTCTCTCCTGAATGGCTGGGTTCGTCTGCAGTGCCGGGCTCTGTCCCGAAACTGGTGGGTTTCCAGTCATGACTATACGGCAGTTTGAGGATGCGGGCACTTTGCAAGGGTTTCCAAGCAGGGCTGGGACTCGTGGTTTGTGGAGTCCTAGAACTCCAGTATGTTCCTTGGGCATTAGGCAGCTCTGAATGGGCTGCATTGGATCAATTTACCTGCAAAGACAGTAGACAGCCATGAAGATGTTTAAGGAATGTTCCAGGTTCAATGCAAGTTTTTTTTGCTCGTAGTCAACATGAAATGGGTCAATGAAAAAATAGTGTCCACAATAAAGAAAAAAGAAAAATATTTTTAAAAAATCCAATAAAAAACAAAAATTCCAACTTCACTTTACATAGTTTTTAGGGTTGTCAAATCCATTAATTGCGATTAATTGCATCCAAAATAAAAGTTTGTGTTTACATAATATATGTGTATGTACTGTATATATTATGTATATATTAATACACATACATACATACATGTATATATTTAAGAAATATTTACATGTATATATATTCATATTTATGTGATTTATATTATATATAAATATATATTACATATATTTCTTAAATATATACATGTATGTATGAGTATAATATATACATAGGCTATAAATATATACAGGTGCATCTCAATAAATTAGAATGTCGTGGAAAAGTTCATTTATTTCAGTAATTCAACTCAAATTGTGAAACTTGTGTATTAAATAAACCTCAGTAGTGCCACAAACTGATCACCTCCATGTCACGCCGAATTGAGGCAGTAATTAAAGTAAAAGGAGCCCCTACCAAGTATTGAGTGCATGTACAGTAAATTAACATACTTTCCAGAAGGCCAACAATTCACTAAAAATTTTTTTTTTATTGGTCTTATGAAGTATTCTAATTTGTTGAGATAGTGAATTGGTGGGTTTTTGTTAAATGTGAGCCAAAATCATCACAATTAAAAGAACCAAAGACTTAAACTACTTCAGTCTGTGTGCATTGAATTTATTTAATACACGAGTTTCACAATTTGAGTTGAATTACTGAAATAAATGAACTTTTCCACGACATTCTAATTCATTGAGATGCACCTGTACAGTACACACATTATATTTTGTAAACACAAACGTTTATTTTGGATGCGATTAATCATGATTAATCGATTTGACAGCACTAATAGTTAATATATTTTTCAAGAAAATTTCAAATTTAAAGACTGTGAAATGTCATGTGGTGTAACCATCAAGTAAAAAGTATTAGCATATTTTCTTTACACCTTTAATAAATGCCATTACTATTTAAAAATTAAATATTAAATAAAAAGTCAACATATTTTAAATATATCATAGCAAAAGTTTTCTTTTACAAATACTATGATTCACCAATTTATAAATATCATTATGTTTTTGCCGTCGCTCAACTTGACATTTTGCACTCTGAACTAGCTTTGCCATGTCGAAAAAAAATTTTAATGATCTGATATTTTATAAAACGTATTAACCTTGACACACAGTCATGAGGGTCTGCAGGGGGTCCTCTTTATGATATAATTTCCTGTTTTATGTTGCCACTTTGATTTTGGCGGACAAATGTTTTTCAAATATTAGTACGTAGTGAAGTGTCAATTTTCCATAAGAAATAATAATAAAAGTTTATGTCAAACGGGATGCTTTTTACAAATTTCATTTTTTTTTTTTAGAGACTTTTTAAAAATCATTATCAGGAATTGTATCATCTTAATTTTTAATATATTTTTGAATAAATTAATAGATTTTGAAAAAAAAAAAGGAATATCATGTCATTGACCAGAACCAAAAATGCTGTACTATAAGCTTAACTTATATTGAACCTGGAACATTCCTTTAATAAATGGAGCAAAAAGCATGAAGGAAAAAATGGAAAGGGTGGCTAAACCATAAAATAGATGCTGTGAATGCAGAGTAAGATGAGAGACCTGGGTTTGTGTGTCCTTCACACTCCTCTGCCTTCTCCCACGGTCAGAGACAGAGACTGTTGCTGTCTGCAGTGGACTGCTGAGTGTGTGAAGAGCTTTGGACAGTAGCCAGGGATGAACGTCCCCACTATGTACCTGTCCCCTCTCGCTCTCTGCTCTTCTTAGGACGTCACTGCTGACATCAGTGAACTACAATAGATCAATCCTTTTGTTCAAATGACAACTATATACCCTCCCCACTGTCCTGATCTACTTTCCTGTTGCTTGGCAACAACTTTCAGTCCCAACACCCCCCTTCCAAACATTTCCATTCTTTCCTTTTAACATTCTGGAATAGTTCCTTTAATAAACAGGATTCTGATCGATAGGGCAATCTTTGAAGAAAGTGCTAGGGATAATGGCCATCACATAGCATTAGCAATGATGCCTCTGTCTCCATCTGTTGCAGAATAATAGCTCAGAGCTTTTACACATTGGTGTCTTGGGACAGATCTTCGGTGAAAAGACAGAATGGTTTCTCAAGTATACGAGTGAAATATTAGAAAATGTTATACACATTCCTAACAGAGTTTAGCCAATATGGCCAGCATAAAAATGCAGATAAACACATGCTACGCAGAAGATGCAACAATTCATATCAACATTACAAACTGACATAACCGAGTAACTGGTATGTTTATAGCTGATATATATATATATATATATATTATGCAAGTCATAATTCTAATGTTTGCAACACAATGATATGCATGCAGATGTCACATATGAATATATATGGAAACATATGAATCAATGTTTGATATTTATTTTCATGGTAATTATTTGAATGTACAGTACATTAATGTACATTACAATAATTAAGTTTTATATATAAAAATAATGTTTAGTAAAGTTAATCAATGAAAAGATAAATGGAAAATATGACAAAAAAGTTGTTTTCATGCAGTTCAATACAGTTAGGTAATATAAGAGCTCGTCTGCTCACACCGTATTTAGTGCACTATAATAGGATGGCATAATGAAAACAGGTCATCATTAAAAATTTATAATGATGACAAATTATAACAATGGTTGAACGGAGCCAAGAGAAAAAATATATTCACAATGTAACAATATTTGTTGTTTGATGGTATTTTTGCATGTTACCTTTTACACTTTTGCTGTTTAATTAATTATTTTGTGCTTCATTATTGTTTTAATTTTACAAAAAGGTATATGTGACAACATGCTTTGCTATTGGGGCATGTTGTCACAAAAGGTCGTAAAAAGACTAATGCTTATACAAAAAAAATGACACCTGGCTTTATTTTACCTAGAGTTAAGCAAGGTCACGTTCTGAAGGGGTTTATCTACTAATCTCTTCATATATCATTTTTCTAACTAATCGTGCTTATGTTTTCTTGCTCACAATCATGATAGGCCTATTTCAACTTTTTTCCCAATAGTTTGTGAGTTTTAGATCCTAGTCACAACAAGTAATACAAAGAAAACAAACTTTCTGCAGTATATGCAAAATTAGTTTGTCAAGACATTAAAATGTTTGTCTGATGGTAGAGACAATTTAGTTTGAACCCATCCTGTACTTTCCATTCATTCATTTCAGTGAATGCTGGATTTGTCATTATTAATAAATATCGGACACATATTATTTTTGTATTAGATGGTTTTGACTGATTCTGAATGATAGGCAAGAAATTACACCTATTTTGTGAGAGAATGGAAAAAGCAGGAGATTTCACCCAAAGATGTCAATGACTCTGAACACTGAACACATTAATACAAAATATCATTATATAGGCTACTAATAATTTATAAACTTTTATTTTTAATTTCATTTGGTCTTGTCTCAAGAATCAGTGTCATGTGTCTTAAGAATAATAATAGAGAAAGAATAATATTTATATATCTCCTAGAGCCCGCTGGACATCAAATAAAATCTCGAGTATATACTAATCGTCCTTTCCTAATGAACCGTTATCATCAACAAGGTCATCCGTCCTCGCTGGTCAGTTACGAGTCAGCGCGCGCTGCGGATGAGATAATTCAGCAAGCCGGTGGGAAGGACATCTCATGTTATGGAAATGAACGCGAGTCTGTTTGACAGATACGCTTGGTTCTTTTCAAAGTTGCTTGTCCGACGACACTTGTTTATACGCTGCAGTGTCTCGAGGTGAAGGATGTCGCGCTGTAAACAGATGAGCGTCACGGTAAGAGCTCATATTTGACTGCCTCGTCGACCTGTGTTTCGTTTCGGAAAAGCACAATTAAGTTGATATCGAAAGAATTCTTACCTGTCCTGTTTCTCTGCACCGGAGTGTGTGTGTGTCCTCCTGTAGAGATGCTCATGCACATCACACACACACACACACACACACACACACACTGGTGTGATAATGAGTGATGGAGAGCGGATACGTCAGTCCCAAGAGGGCACGAGGAAAGGTAGCGAAAACTGTGCGTGAAACATCTTCAACAGACTCTTGACTAGTAAAGACTAAAAACGTCGTAAGGCGACGTAAAATCAGCCGCGTGAGCGGAATGGAAATGTCCACTTACACGTGAGGACATTATTAACATGATCCACAACTCACGAGAGCTATTCTCACAGTCCAGGCAATAATGATCCTGATGTTGAAGGTCTGGTCATTCCAACTATATCAGCATCTAGGCCTATATATTATTTAAACTTACAGTTATTACAAATGGAAATTATATTAGGCTAGTTATAGATTCCTTTTAACAACACTATTATTTGAACATAGAAATGGATTTGAAGTAATTTCATGATTTTTATTTGAGCTAATATTGTCATGCCACTGGGTGGTACACTAATTTCTAAAAACGGAAAATGTATTAGGAAATATTGTAGATGTTTCTTTTTTTTCCGGAAATTTTTTGACGTTTCGAACAGAACATTATCCTGAAAATACTGTATTAAATGGTAATCAGTTTATAGCTTTATTTTACTGTGTCCTCAATATAATTGATAAAACATGGGAATTATATTAGGCTAGTTTGTTCATTTGTTTTTGTTTTTTACCACATCAATATTTAAACATAGAAATGGATTTAAAGTAATTTCATGACTTATTTGAGTGGATATTGCCATTTTTGTAATGTTCCCGGGTGCTGCACTAATTGATAACTTGAAAAAGTGACAATTTATTAAGAAATATTGCCGGTATTTCTTCATTTTTTCTACATTTTCAAAATATTTTTAACAGAATATATTTCCCCGAGAATATTGTATTAAGAGGTAATCAGTTTATAGTTTTATTTTACTCTGTCCTCAATATCAGTTATTAAACATGGAAATCATATTAGGCTAGTTAGTTTTCTTTTATCACAACAGTAACATTATTCGAACATGGATTTAAAGTCATTTCACTACTTTTCTTTGAATGCATATTGCCATTTTTGTCATGTCGCCGGTTGCTGCACTAATTTGAAACTTGAAAAACGGTTTATTTAGAATTATTGCCAGTATTTTTTTCCACATTGATGAAGTGTTTCGAACAGAACATATTTTCATGAGAATATCGTTTTAATTGGTAATCAATGGATATTTTTATGTTACTGTGTCTTCAATATTACTTTTCATGTTTGTTTGTTTTTTTACAAATTTTTAACAAAATCCAATTACATAATCCTTCAGGAAGTGACATCATTTTAGTAGGAAAATAACAGCACCACCATCAGTGAAGTATTAGCAATTGATTTGATTAATTTTGTGATATTATTTGGTTTGTCACAAAAATCCAGTATTAATTGTGTGTGTGTTTGAGTAAAGAGAAAACAAAATGCACAGAGAAGATTATCACATTTAATAATACTTGGCAAACACTTGGTGAGGCATTGTGGGAGGAAAATAACACCCATAATTTAATCAAAGATACAGATTGACAGAAATTGTACTTGTATGACTTAAAGTACTATAATAATACGTACATAATTTGTATTTTATTTTAATGTCATATTTTTCTCATATTCTATTAGTTACAACAATAGAAGTGTCAATATGCTCAAAATACACATCTAAAGTGCACTTAAGTCATTGGCCATGCAGCAAATAAAGTGTCAAGAACATTTCAAAAGCACTTGAAAATGACCACCGGCCTTCTGAAACAAGACTTACAGGCGTCTTAGAGGCCTCAAGGGCCCATCTATCCCTGAGTGAGAGGTTTGATTGGACCTAATCTCTCTTAGTGCAGTTCTAAGGTCAGTACGATGGACTTCAGATCCTGAACAAAATGAGAGAAACCAAAAACTATTCAAGCTGTCATATTTCACCCTAGAAGCAAAAGCAGGCGACATTTCTATTCTGTAGGAGACGAATGAGACATTTTCGAGGCTTTGTTTTTCTTTCTGAACTCTTATATATAGTAAAAGTGCCCTCGTCTATATTTTTAAACAAACAATAAATCTGGGTTACGTATAATTCCGCATTAAATCTCATGTCCTTATAAGCCTGATGTCTCAGTGCTGGAGCGCATTCAAAACAGGGAGTAGCAGTACCTTAAAAAGCCATCCGCATATATACACACACACACATTCACACAATCTCTGAGCATAGACTGAGGTTAGTGCATGTGTAATCTCAGTGGAATGCACTGTTTCAGAGCCCCAGCTGTACCCGAGCGCAAAACACTTAGGTTATAATCCTCATCCACTGCATGCGTGTACATATGAAACAGAGAAGAGCATAAGTACATAATAGACTGATCTTTGGTAGAAGCTTCAGGTCAGGTCACGTGTGCGCGATGTTGTGTGCATGTTATAGTCTTTTGGTTATTTAGAGTGAAAACACTCAAAATGCGAAGGTTTCTATGGCATCTTCTTTTTAGTCTTGACAAGGCCTTTCTCTACTAGGCAGCGGTAAAACTCCTGGATATACGTGTACACACACTTCCAGTCTGGCTCTCGCATCCGCATCAAGTCATCAACGTCCAGCAGGGGAGGACAGTCAGCTAGCCTCCTACACGCATAAAGACATTTAAGCTTATTTTTAGGACCATTATGGGTTGTTGTTGTTTTTTGACTTAAGCACATTTTTGTTCCAAAATACCTAAAACACATTTCCTCCACTTACCACACATTTCTCATTAGAATAATGGTAGAAAATAGTGATGTCTTAAAGGGGTCATACGATGCTTTTTTAAAGATCATTATTTGGTGTATTTGGTGTAACAGAATATGTTGACATGCTTTAATGTTCAAAAAACACATAATTTTTCAAATACTGTACATTATTGTAGGTCCTCTACAAAGAGGAAGGAAAACTTGAAATCGCATCATATGACCCCTTTAACTACATTATAAAATTGTAAATAGAGTTGTTATGCTGTCTTTAATTTATGCTGATTTAATTGAAAAAAAAGTGCCTGGATGAAAAGAGAAAAGATGAGCCATTTAAATTAAAATTAATTAGAAAAAATAATAATACATTATAATTTAATTATAATAATAAAATTAATTGTATGAATTATTAATATATTGAACAATTGAATATATTACAATTATTACTATTATAATAATAAATGATATATTATATACATTATATTAATTATTTATGATAATGAAAATGCTATTTCTTTCTTTTTCAGGGGAAGGATGGCCCAAACATTTCACACACAAGACATGCAAAGGTGGATGCAATAAATAGTGTCAAGTCTCACTCTGCAGTCTTGAATGCCTTCTCAAAGTTGGCCCTGCGATCATAGGGGTCAAGAGTGCAATATTCAAAGCTCTCTGGGAAGAACCTGTGTACCAGGGCACAAAACGCCAGACCGTCTGCCCAGCTAGACGAGAAATTTTGGATGTTCACACCCTAAACATAGAAACAAGTATAAGAGGGAGAATCACAACAAAGCTGTGAAGAAAAATAAATAAATAAAAAGTGTGTTTTGCTTAAAACAAAGCCCATTTTAGGACCATTAGGTTTTTTGCATTGTTTAAATGATAAAAGACACCCACCACCACACACCTAACTTACAAATTTGCAAATAAAAAAAGCCTGTATACCTACAGTATTTGTTCAATTTATGCTGATTTACACAAAAATAAAATAAAAATAAAATACGAAAAAATAAGAAAATACAAAAAAAAAAATGTGCAAAAAAATGTTTTGGTTGTAATAAAGGGAATCAAAATTGCATTCACATAAATTAAATGTTAATCGGGATGCATTACAGTAATGACTATAAGTGGGAAATGTTCTTATGTTTCATAAAAGTAATGTCATAATGCCAAAAATCTTTATAGTCATAAAAATAGGTTTGGTTCTCTTTATGTTAAAGTGTAATTTCTTATTTTTTTCTTTTGATTTTGGGGTGAAATGTGACCTGGACATCTCTGTGCGATTCACACAAGGAGGCTAGCAGAGCCTGAGACATATAGCAAAACAGAAACTGTTTGATTTTATCTTATTTTGTCTCTTCAGGCGCACCTCATATGGTTCAGTCTTGACTCTGCACCAGTCCAGCAGCATCTGTTTGACATCTTTGGTATTTGGGCCCCCGACCGCCGAGCCGCCTGGCACTTTAACCCTGGCTACATGGGACTGAGCTGGGCTTTAGGAGGAAAATAACACTATCAGTTAACGGGATACGTCCCATGCTGTCGTCCTGTCAGGACTCTGGGAATGACTCACCTGCCCACAGCTTTTGGAGAGGAAGTAGAGGTTGGTGGAGAAAATGTTTTTGCCTGAGCCATCCCTGTACCAAAGTGAAGTAAAAAGAGATAGGGAAGGTTATCAAAGCCTTGCAGATTGAAGCGCAGGTACATAGTGTTCAGATCCTCATGAATGATGGTCACTCACTGTGTGCTTTGTACTGAGCGCCGCTCGGACCATTAGTGGGTTTCTGGTCCTTATTCAGTCCAGCAGCTGTCTTTCCTCCACCACCCTGCTGACGCAGGGTCTCCATCCGGGCCACCCGCTCCCTATCACGCCGCTCTGACAGAAAGAGAGGGGTTTAACTCAAAAAACAGTAAATAAAAAAATAATAATAATAAAAGTTAACAAATACACAGTAGAAGTTCATTTTATTGACTTCCTTTGGTTGTTTGTGTAATAGTAAGGATTCTTAAAGGCGGAATCTCATGAAACCTGTGAAGAACATGTCTGGCTTATTTTCACACACTACTGTTCAAATGTTTGGGGACAGTAATTTTTTTTTAAACAAAGTGAATACTTTTATTCAGCAAAAGTTGACAAAAAAAGTGAAAAAAAGTTGTCAAATGTGACAGTAAAGACATTTATAATGTTACAAAAGATTTCTATTTTAAATAATGCTGTTTTTATTCACTTTCTATTCATTTAAGATTCCTGAAAAAAAAAGATTGCTTCTACAAAATTATGAAGCAACACAGTTAACATTGATAATAATCAGAAATGTGACCCTGGACCACAAAACCAGTCTTAAGTGTCAATTTAAAAGTCATTAATTATT